CAGACTGTTTCGTAATAAATGAAATTTACATTTGGAACGTACAATTTCTTATTTGAGCAAAGTCAGGTATGGTTGTAAAATAGACAACCAGGTTTAAAAAGGAGACTAGTTTTAATATGTGATCCACTGATCCAAGAAATTCAACCATACCATCTGTACCTAGGGTGAGCAAGAAAAAGACAGTAATTATAAATAAAATTGTTTGTATAGTGCCAACATAGTTCCCAATGCTGTACAATAGGAAAACAAGGTAAACATTAAGTTCTAACAAAACATGTATGACATACAGGAACAGTAGGTGAAGTGGGCCCTGCCCAACTAACTTACTAGCAGATCCCATGCCGTTTACAAAGGTGTTCTTTTTAGTAGACCATATCCATTCAGTATTTTCATTGTATTGAACTGTTTGTCCATTGGAAACTCTGTGCTGTTATATTTATAACAATCATGATTTAAGAGGGCACTAAAATCCTAACCAATCAACATGAAGTTTGTTATCGGGGTTGGTTAAAATTGACCATTTGTCAAATCAGTTAGACTTGTTACATTTTGTCCGCAAATACTTTCTTAGTAAATAGCTAAATAGATAGCTCAATGATTTGCTTGTGCTATACTCTTACGGGACTGCATCCTTATCTGAGACTTTTGGGAGGAAAGGTGAAGTTCTAAAAGTGCATTTTTCAATGTGGTAACAGACATTTCCTACTGGGTTTTTTTTGTGGAACTTTTCCCCAGAACTGCTGTTTTGGCAATACAGACTCTACCAATTATACATTTCCTAATGATTAATTCAATGGGCAGGTTTAGTCATGTGGACAGAGCAAACTAATGAATCTAAAAGGTTGTTTACCGTGACTTAAAATCACAGAACCACTTGAACTTTCTTTTTAGGATATGATTTCGATAAACCTAGCCTTCTATTGCTGAAGTTTTTCACAGTTTTTTTTTATCCTTTACAATGTAGCAAAATGCTGTTATTCTTTTTGTTTGATAAATAAGGTGTTGAAGCCATTCCAAAATTATATTGATGTTGTAAATGGGCCAAATGTATTTCTTTTTCCTAAGGCTCAGTTGAACGCAAACATTTAGGTTAATCATATGACTAGACCAATTTTGAAACTGTCTCAGAATGAAGCACATCATTTACAAATGATAAATAACACTTACTGAGCATTGCATTGATTCAATTGTATTTTTATAATACATTTTCTTATTTCTTTCTTTTTTTTATTCTTTTCACAGTAAACTAAATAACATATGCTTTCTGTTTGCCAAGATCTCTTACAATAGGGATGGTTGCATGCAAGTAATAAATGTTTTGGTATTGAAAAAAAAATAAGATAAGATATGCATGTTTGATTCAGCAAACTGTCATTCCATGGAGCCCTATTCATAGCAGGCCAAGCACAATGATGAATGAATTACCTGTGTCCAGGATTGTTGCTCAGACTCACATAATGCCTATGGGATTAAAAATCTCCATAATAATTCCCTTTGTGCTTTACACATTCCAATATATGGAGTCTTGAAAATGTCTAGAATAAAAGTGAATGAGATATGAATAGAGCAAAGCTAAAATGAAGCCATGACAGTTAAAAATATATCAAACATCTAATGCTATTTGTTATAACCAGTTGTGTTTGTATGATACATTCTCTGTTCTTAAAGCACATCAAACCCTTAACCCCTTACTGACTGAGGACTTCTAAAACTACTAAAAATCTCTAAAAATACTTTTTTGTTTTTCTTTTTTGTATTTTTTTTATTGAAATATTAATGTAAAAAAATCACAAGAATAAAGTTTACATTATTGATTTTAAGAATAACAATAATACATAATTTCTTTAATTTATACTCTAACCTACAAACATTCCTATTAACATTCATACTACTACATACTTCATTCATACTGTTGCGGAGGAGGGAGGGGAGAAGGGCTATGTCATAAGGTACCATATTCTTTATTGTTTACTTTCCATTATTGTAATCTTTTTAGGGATACCCAGCTCTATTAGCAAAAGAAGATATTTGCCATTTGTCCCATATTTTTGAATATAGATTCCCTTGATTATTCATTAAATAATATCCTTTATCCATTGAGTATTGATCGTTTATCTGATTTATTATTTAATTCCAACTTTTTCCAATTTCTTGCCAGCCATATTTTTACTGCCAACAAAATATTAATAATTAAATAAGAGAGAAGTTTCTCACAAGGGAGATCTAAATGGAAAAGGAAGAGATGTGGGGTCAAGGGAAACTCTTTCCCTAAAATTTCTATTAGAAGTCTTCTGATAAAGTATCTAGCCCTGTACATTCCCACCAAATGTGGAAATGAGACCCTTTAGCATCGTGGACTTTGTTTAACCCACTTTAAACTCTGTTTCCAAGATTGAATATTAAATTATTTTTTAAGATCAAGTTCCCATTTTATTATCGGAGGTTCTTTGGTAAAAGTTTCAGAAATACAGAGAAATTTAAATGAGCAAGATATTCACTTCAAAGGGTTGTGATTATCCAAAAAGTCAGCAGTGTCGTTATGTTCTATAATTTGTTTTGTATCTAAGTAGTTTTTGACTCTCAAATAAGTAAACACTTTACTTGAAGCTAGAAAATAGTTAGATTGCAATATCTGAAAGGGAATTAAATTTCCATTAGAATAAATATCCAGAATTTGATTAATCCCACATCTCTTCCAATTCCTCAAATCCAGATCTTTTACGTTAATTTCAAATATATCTATGGGGGAGGATAAAGCCAATCCATTAGTTAAATTTTGTTCTTTCCTTATGTTTTTAATCGCAATCAAAGTCGCTTCAGTAATTGGATTCTTTATAATATTGCTTAAGGGACAATGGTTATCTATCCAGAAACATTCATAAAGTTTATCTGTTTTAAAATCCTGAACTTCAATTCCCTTCCATAAGTTGACATAATTAGTGTTTTTATTCCAAGCTAGAAAATGGGCTAGCATACATACTTCATGCATTACAAATACATCTGGGAATCCCAAGCCTCCATTTAAAAAAAAAAAAAATGTTTTAAGGATTTTCTGAGAGATTCTAGGTTTCTTATTCCACCATATAAACCTTGAAATGGCAGTTTGGAAAAAAACTTGCTCACTCTTTCTGGGATAGTTCTAAGCAAATATATCAACTTTGGGAGCAAATGTGCTCTAGTTAATTCTATTTTACCAACCCAGGATAATTCAATCTTGCCCCATTTCGTAAAATATTGTCTTAATTCATCTAGAAGGCTTAAATAGTTAGAATTAATCTGGTCATCTAGAGAATGACTGATCTTCACTTTTAAGTAGTTGATAGTTCTACCATTCCAGTTATACTCATACATAGAGTTAAGCTGGCCATTTCTAAGTGAGGTACCCCATAAGTCAGAATCTGAGTTTTAATTATATTTAATTTTAGATAAGAAAATTCACCATATTTCTTTATCATATTCATCACAGCTGGTATGGATTCAAGGGGGTTCGACAGGGTCAGAAGGACCTCGTCTGCAAATAAAATAGTCTTATGTTCCATTTGGCCAACCAAGATTGCCTGTACTACTTATCTTTGTCTTATTAAAGCCACTGAGGGCTCCATAGCTAGAATATAGAGCAAGGGAGCTAGTGGGCATCCCTGCCTTGTCCAATTTTTCATATAGAAGTATCTTGCTTCCATAGCCGTGCCAATAACTTTTGCTGTTGGATTTGTATATAGGATCATAACATCTCTAAAATTACCTATTAATCCAAATTTTTGTAAGACGCGATCCATAAACTGGCAATTCAACCTATCAAAGGGCTTTTCGGCATCTAGTGCCAAAAAGGCTGCTTTGATATTTTTAGTATTAACTCTATAAATTAGGATAAAGACTCTGCGAATGTTATCAGGTGCCCCTCTGTTCCTGACGAACCCCGCTTGATCACTGTGAATTAAAGCTGTCAAGAAGTGGTCGGAGCAAAGAAACATCACCACAAAGAGTGGATCACTGCTGACACCTTGGGCAAGATAGAAGAGAGAAAACAGAAGACGGTGGCAGTAAACAACAGCAGGATTAGGGCAAAAAAAGCCAAGGCCCAGGTGGTATACACAGAAGTCCACAGAGCAGTGAAGAAGAGCATTAGGAAGGACAAGAAAAACTACATAGATGGACTGGCAGCTGAAGCAGAAAAGGCAGCATACAACGGCAACATGAAACAGCTGTACGACATGACTAAGAAACTGCAAGCCAGAATGACCCGTCAAGAACAAGGAGGGAAAGGACTAACGCAGCAGATTAATAGATGGTCTGAACACTTTGAGGAGCTCCTGAACAGACTAGCACCACCAAATCCTTCAGACATCAATCCAGCCAATGAAGATCTCCCCATCAACCGCGGCAAGCCGACTAGAGAAGAGACGGGAAGGCCATCACCCTGATGAAGAACGGGAAGGCAGCTGGACCTGATGACATACCAGCAGAGGCCCTGAAAGCAGACCTGAAAGCATCAGTGGAGATGCTGTACCCACTCTTTGAGAAGATCTGGGAGGTAGAAGAGATACTGACTGACTGGAAGAAGGGTTATTTAATCAAGCTTCGAAAGAAAGGTGGCCTCAACAACTGTAACAACTACAGACGTAGCACACTCCTGTCAGTGCCAGGCAAGGTCTTCAACCGGATCCTCCTAGAGTGGCTGAAGGATGTTGTCAATCCACACCTATGAGATGAACAAGCAGGCTTCCTGCAGAATTGATCATGAATGGACCAGATTGCAACACTGCTCATCATAGCTGAGCAGTCCTTGGAGTGCAACTCATCACTGTACATTAACTTCGTTAATACGAGAAGGCGTTTGACACTGTGGATCAAGACGTCCTCTCGAAGCTCCTCTGGCATTACGGCATCCCAGCCAAGGTGGTCAACTTGATCAAGAGCTCAAACGAGGGAATGACCTGCAGAGTGATCCACAGAGGATAGCTTACCAACAACTTCCAGGTGAAGACTGGAGTCCGACATGGATGCTTCTTATGCCCGTTCCTTTTCCTCATCGCCATCGACTGGATCATGAATACAGTGAAAACAGAAATGGAATCCAGTGGACCTTGTGGAGTCAACTGGATGACTTGGACTTTGCTGACAACCTCACACTTCTCTCCCACAGTCAGCAGCAGATGCAAGAGAAGATCAGTGTGTTGGCAGCTACATCAGCACAGGTTGGACTCATCATCCACAAGGAGAAGACCAAGATCCTTAAGATACTTATGACCAACTTCAGCAACATCAACCTAATCACCCTGAAGGGAAGTCCCCTAGAGGAAGTACAATTCTTCACCTACCTGAGCAGCATCATCGACCAACAAGGTCGAACAGATGCAGATGTCAAGGCAAGAATTGGCAAAGCAAGAGTCACCTTCATCCAGCTCAAGAACATCTGGGTTTCCAGAGAGCTAACCTTGACCACCAAGATCTGACTGTTTAACTCCAATGTGCAGTCAGTACTGCTGTACAAGGCTGAAAACTGGAGGACAACCAAAACCACCAACAGAAGAATCGAGACATTCATCAACAGCTGTCTCAGAAGAATTCTCCACATTCACTGGCAAGACACCATCAGTAACACCAATCTAGGCAGAAATCTGGAAGAGAAGATGGGGCTGGATAGGGCATACCCCACGCTAACCACCAACTAACATCACCAGGCAGGCTCTCAGGTGGAACTCCCAAGGAAAAAAGAAGAGAGGCTATCTAAGAAACACCTGGCGACGCGACCTCAAGGCAGACATGAGAAGGATGGGCTACACCTGGAGTCAACTGGAAAGAATGGCCAAGGAGAAAAGTCTCTGGAGATCTACTTTGGCGACCCACACCCCAGGAGGGGTGGAGGGCATAAGTAAGTAAGTAAGTAATACTTTCAACTAAAGGAAGTGAATTGTTTCTGGTTAAAAATAAGTCAATACACGAGTAAGATTGGTGAGTATTGGAATAAAAACTGTAGTCGCTAGCCAACAGATTGTAAACTCGTCAACAATCATACAATGTGTTTTGCCATATTAGACTTTGAAATTTTGTATTATCGACTGTTTTGTCTTTTGCCATGCATTTGTTCTACTTGTGTGCACACATACATACACATTCTCATTATGTGCACGCATACATAATATATATCATTTTAAAGGAGATATAGAGCTTTGTTCTGACATCCTACATGTATGTAGAACCTAACATTACATATGAAAAAAATATTAAAATATTGGGAAAAAAGGGTCCATACTTTTGCTTAGAAACAAATTATGCACAGTTATAGTAACAGAACAAATCAACCCTAAATAAAGTGAAAAATACTATTAAATTAGTCTCGTCATGTAATATGACTCTTTAACAAAGGGAGAACTTAATAAAGGAATATTTATCATGAATAAAAATAATCACTGTGCATAAAAAAGACAAAGTGATGGCAAACACAAACAACAGTTAAAATAAACATGAGAAATTAACAAAAAAATACTAATTACTCTCTCATCTTTTTTATATCTGTGCAATGGACACAATTTATCCATTTCATACACATCTTACAAGACAAATCAATGACATAATATAGCGAAATTTAACAGTTCCTTCAAGACAGCTTAAGTTACACTAACCATGTTCACACTAATTTTGTAGAGCTCGCTCACGCTGTTCTATGTACAACAGGAGACATGATTATTTATCTCTGGGTTATTATTGGAGTTTTCCGGTTATAATATCTTGGCAAAGAATTGTGTCCTGACCGCTAACGGTCACTTAGAATATCAAAAGGGCCCAAAGTCTATGAAGAAATACAGTCAAATAGTATGTTAGACAGCTAGTCTAGGGAAAGATGAACATGCAATTTGGGTGTACAATTTCATACCTGAAGGAGGGACACCACTGGACACCTGGCTTCAAAGGCCTAATTTATTTAGCAAATATTGTCTTGTAATCTGACAAACAGTGCTTTCCTATACAACTAAACTATCCTTCCAACGCTGAAATCAGCCACACTGAGATTTCATGTGTATACAATGTGACCAATTCATGTATACACTATGCACATAATATTTAATAAAAATATTTCGATATTCATGAATTATCCTGGCTGGGCATGCCAGCAACATGAATACCAGTCACAATATCCAAAACTGGACATATTTTAAGCCCTTAAGGACGGAGCCAAATGTATACGTTGTGAACAAAACAAAATGTAAAAAAAAACCTGGCATTTGCGCTACATGTCTGTCCAACCGTAATTCACCTCTTTTATATTAAATACACCCTCCCTTATTATATATCATTTTATTCAGGGGAAACAGGGCTTTCATTTAATATCAAATATTTAGCTATGAAACATAATTTAATATGAAAAAAATTGGAGAAAATAAGAAATGTTGTTATTTTTTTTAGTTCTACATAACATTTTAACTGTCAATATCATAATACTGTTTGGTTTTACTGCAATAAAATAAACATATTTGTATTCAGCAAAGTCTCACGTGTAAAACAAAACCCACTGTGTACAGGTTTTATGGTGTTTTGGGAAGTTACAGGGTCAAATATAGCACGTTATATTTGAAATTGAAATTCACCAGATTGGTTACGTTGCCTTTGAGACTGTATAGTAGCCCAGGAAAGAAATTTACACCCATAATGGCATACCATTTGCAATAGTAGACAACCCAAGGTATTGCAGATTGGGTATGTCCAGTCTTTTTTAGTACCCATTTGGTCACAAACACTGGCCAAAGTTAGCGTTAATATTTGTTTGTGTGTGAAAAATGCAAAAAAGGCCAATTTTGGCCAGTGTTTGTGACTAAGTGGCTACTAAAAAAGACTGGACATAGCCCATTTGCAATACGTTGGGTTGTCTACTATTGCAAATGGTATCCCATCATAGGGGTAATTTTCGTTTCTTGGGCTACCATAGGGTCTCAAAGGCAACGTAACCAATCGAATTTTAATGTGAAAAAAATGAAACACAAGCCTTATATTTGACGCTGTAACTTTTGAAAACACCATAAAACCTGTACATGAGGGGTACTGTTGTACTCGGGAGACTTCACTGAACACAAATATTTTAAAAACAGTAAAAAGTATCACAGCAATATTATCGTCCGTGTAAGTGCTGTTTGTGTGTGAAAAATGCAAAACACATCACTTTTACTGGCGATATCATCATTGTAATACATTTTACTGTTTTGAAACACTAATATTTGTGTTCAACAAAGTCTCCCGAGTAGAACAGTACCCCCCATGTACAGGTTTTATTCTGTCTTGGAAAGTTATAGGGTTAAATATAGTGCTAGCAAATTAAATTCCCTTTACTTTCGGCATGGGTTGTCAGGCAGGTCCCGCTATTTGTAATTAGTTAAGATACCTAATTATGTAAAAATATTACATAAATATATATGTAGAATTAATATATGTATATATATATACATAAAGACAATACATACAGTAGGTGGATCACACTTCTTACAATATCTAAAAAGAGATAGAAACAACAATATAGTGTAGTATTGTTGACAAATTGGTATCCAAAGTATAAATAAAGGTGGTCAGGTACTCACAAACCGAGAGCCAAACAAGAACATGTGGCTCTCATGGAAACAGCACTGGGACTATTAGTAGGATGTCCCTTTCCTTCTGTGGATCTTCTATTCACCCAAAGAAATGGAGCTGAAAACACTTACTTAAAAATTAATAAACACTTTACTTTTTAAGTAAGTGTTTTCAGCTCCATTTCTTATACTGGGAAAACTTATTGACTCGAGTATAAGACTAGGGTGGGAAATGCAGCAGCTACTGGTAAATTTCTAAATAAAATTAGATCCCCCAAAAATTATATTAATTGAATATTTATTTACAGTGTGTGTATATAATGAATGCAGTGTGTGTGTGTGTGTATAATGCAGTGTGTTTGTATTAATGCAGTGTGTGTGTATGAATGCAGTGTGTGTGTGTATATGAGTGCAGTGTGTGTGTGTGTATGAATGCAGTGTGTGTGTGTATGAGTGCAGTGTGTGTATGAATGCAGTGTGTGTATATAATGCAGTGTGTTTGTGTATGAGTGCAGCGTGTGTGTGTATGAATGCAGTGTGTGTGTGTGTGTATGAATGCAGTGTGTGTGTCTGATGCAGAGTGTGTTTGTGTGTGTGATGTAGAGCCTTGGTGTGGGGTGGGCATTTTTTATAAAATTTTTTTAACTATTATTTTTTTATTTTTTTATTTTATATTATTAATATTTTCTTCTTATTTTATTATTATTTTAATTTTTATTTATTTAGATTTTTCATCCACCCTCCCTGCTTGATACATGGCCAGGGAGGGGGGCTCTCACTCCCTGGTGGTCTAGTGGCATTGTCTGTGTAGGAGGGGGGCTGGCAGCGAGCTGTAGCTTACCTTTCCTGCAGCTCCTGTCAGCTCCCTTCTCTCTCCTTCGGCCTGGTCAGCTCCTGTCAGCTCCCCTGTCAGTCTCACAATTTCCGAAGTGCCGAAGTGCTTTGGATTTCTGAAAAGTGGCAAAACAAGAGAGAGAGGGAAAATTATGGGAATGATGCCAGTAATCTTACCCTAACCCTACTCCTTACCATAGCCATAACTCTACTCCTAACCCCTAACCCTAAACCTTAGCGGTAGGGTTAGGTGTAGGGGTAGGATTAGGGGTTAGGGTTAGGGTTAGGGGTAGGGTTAGGGTTAGGGGTTAGGGTCAGGGAATTGCCAAAGTCCCAAATTGCTGAAGTCCCGAAGTGCAGAAGTCCCAAAATGCCAAAGTCCCAAATTTCAGAAGTGCCGAACAGATTTTTTTGGCCCATGCACATCCCTACATTCTATCATTACATTCTAGTTCCAGACTCAATAAGTCTATAATCTGTGAATAGCAGAATGAACAAATAAGAGGCCATGATCAAGCGTATTAGACATCACCGGAATGAGAACGCAAGTCAAGTCATGAATATCACAATACTTAGAGATTCTTTTCATTATGTACACCAGAAAAAAATTACCAAACCACTAAAGATACATATAAAGGCAAACCTACTAAAGAAAGTGTGCCCTCTAAAACACCAATACAATAATGAAACAAAAGCCAAACAGTAGGAATGCAAAAAGTAGTGAAATAATCACTTCGAAGGTGTAAATAAAGTATACAACCTGATTATATAACAGCGTGGTGAAGAATATCTATAAAAAGATATATAAAACGCACATAGAGTAATACAAGTATTATAGTGTCGACACGCAAGGAGAATATATTAAACTCACAAAATATGAGGGAATATCAGGCCCATCATCCTTAATCAGAGGTGATCTTCAGAAGGATATGAAGTAGATCTTCTTTAGCACTTGCAAAATGAATAGAGAAACCAAAAATAGTGCAGATAGAATAAAAATACAATAATTTTATTATAAAAATGCACTTACAAAAATCCAAGTAATAGACAGCATATAATCC